TGTAATAGCTTAGGATTTTATTTTCCGCATTTTATTTTTTGCTTTCATATATTGCTAGTAATTAGAATGTATGGCAAGATAAAATCAACAAATAGATAACTCTTAAATACAAGACAAAATGCATACAATCAAACACACTTGCACACTAGCACCCTTAGGGTAATCTCACCTTGTTGCCTATCGGAAAAATAGTCATGTCCCTCGAATATGGGCGTTTTAGCAAAGACCCTCGATAAAAGATCGTAGTCCCTCGATGACCCTCGATGTTGCCTTCGGTAAACGATCTAGTCCCTAAAACGACATTGCTAAAACGTTCGATAAGTTTCCTTCTATGACTATACAAAAACGTCTCGTGCCCGTCCCTTCACATCCAACGATGGGGCTTCTTACCAAAGCAATGGTAAAGATAGCAACATCTAAAGGAGGAGGAAAATAACACTAAAGACCTTTTGAGTAGGTAGATTTGCTCCTAGTTACTCACTTGCTCACAACAAAAACATTTTATACACCAACACTCTCATTTTGAAACATTTTCAAAAGACAACACTTTGTATGAGTTCTTATAGAAATGAGAGCCATTACAAAGACACCCTTTTCAAAATCACTTTCAAAAAACACATTTCACAAACACCTCTTTGAACTATTTTCAAAACAACACTTTGTACGCATTCTTATAGAAAAGAGAACCATTACAAAGTCACGTTTTCAAAATACTTTCAAAACCCACATCACAAAGCACATTTCAAACAAAAGTCAGTGATCTAGCAAGCAACTAATGGAAAACCATGGATGAAAGGGGTGCTAACACCTTCCCCTTTCATAATCTACCCCCCGAACTCAAGAAAACATCTCTAAAGGTCTTTCCTGTGCTTTTTCACCTTTCCTTGTTGGATAAAAGAAAAGTCGGTGGCGACTCTTGCTATCCGCAACATTTGCAATCATACGCGAAACAAAAAGTCAATTCTCCCACCGTATCATAGAACTGGCGACTCTGTTGGTGAAATCTCTAAAAGTGGGGTTACCTTAGGGTTAGATCATATTTACTTGCCTTCATTTATTTGAATTGCTTGCTTTACATTATTGGTTCCTTGTTTGGGTTTGTTTTGATCCTCTACCCGGATCTGGGGCACCTTTTTAGGTAAGTAGCAATAGATTGTAGAAATTGTGCGGGGTATACCGACATGGTCTAAGCAATAGCTATGTTAGTGTGACGTATTTGTTGGTATCGGTATCCCTTGTGTTGAAACGAGGAGAATACGGGGCCGCTGAGCGGCGTCATAAAGCACTAACTGACCTTAGAACCTTACTTGACCAACTTGGCCATTAGGAAGTAGTGAGATAGCCGGCTTTGGTGCAGTCCGAAGTTGGTTGATACTTGATGCTACACTCATTGAGACCGGACTTTTGGGATATCTCGGCCGCAAGAAAAGATTGATTGAGCTGAGACAATGCCTAAAAGAAAGGTCAGTGATATTGAGATCCCTTAGAACTCGGTTACTATTAACTAGGACAGGTTGAGCCAACTAAACTTCAAGAGGGTACTTACCTACAAACTCCATGCAAGCCTAAACCTAAGGACTTGTCTACTTTGTGTGAATATGATTATTTGTATATAAACTTGCTTATCTCGCATATTTGTACATAACATCATAACATCGTACCATAGCATTTTCAATAGCCATTTCAAGGATCTCGAGGGCCTATGATGCAGGGTCACGTTGAACCAGACGTCGACCAAGGGGCAAGAGGATTTATTTTCCTCTAACCAAACGCCGTCAAAAATCAAGTACAATAAACCGGAGTCAAAGGCTACAACCCACTTGACATGGTGAGCTTAATTCTCGTGGAAGGACATCCACCGATACAAAGTTTTCCAATCCAAAACTGTAAGTGACTACTAACCCCGCGAGATCCTTGAAAACATGCATCCACATATCATGCATCATATCATGACAGGTTTCTCCCATACAGGTCTCCTTATCTTCCTACTGTTTATTTCAGTAAGATGGATATGGAACAAATGGTGAAAGATCTCCAAGCTCAAAATGCTCAATTCCAATAAATGTTCCTCGCTATGGCTAAGGGGAAAGAGGACCTGAAGACCCTTCTTCTCAAAAACAAGAAGAAAAATTCCAAAAAGTCAGTAGGCGTCCTGAACTTGAGAAGAAGACCTAGAGGACCAGTCAAGGGAGCTCTAGATCTTTCAACTCCATCAACATAGGGGATAGTCATGAAGAAGACAACAGTATGAAGATTGATGAAGCTGAAGCTGACTACTCTGAGGAATAATATCCTCCCACTGATGACAAGTACAAACAGTTGGAGGATCGCCTCAGTGCTATGGAGATTCAACAGATACCCAGTTTGGATTTAGGAGACATGGGATTGGTTTCTGGGGTAGTCATCCCGCCAAAGCTCAAAATCCCTACCTTTTCCCTGTACGGTGGAGTCTTTTGCCCTAAGATGCACTTAAAGTCTTATGTCTGCAAGATTCAACCATACACAACTGATCTGAAGCTTTGGATCCATTTCTTCCAAGAGAGCCTGGTAGGGACTCAACTTGAATGGTTTTATCAATTGGAGAATTCTTGCATCCACACCTGGGAGGATTTAGTTGTTACTTTCTACAAGCAGTACAAGTATAATGTTGATCTTGCACCAACTCATGTGCAATTGCAAAACATGACCATGGGTTCCGACGAGAGTTTCAAAGGATACGCCCAAAAGTGGAAAGATCTGGCTGGTAGGGTGCAACCCCCTTTAACTGACAGGGAGCTGATTGACATCTTTATGGGAACCTTGGCGGGACCTTTCTTCAAACACTTAATCAGAAGTTCCTCATCCGGGTTCACCGAGCTAATACTGACCGGCAAAAGGGTCGAAGCTGGCATCAAAAGTGGAAAGATCCAAGGAGCTACACCTTCTGATGCTCACGAAAAGCCATACAATAGGAAGAAAGAGTCCAATGTTGTGTATGGTCAAAAGAGTCGTCATGATCAACATGTAGGGGCAATCCTGATCTCTAATCCTACACCTGTTCAACAAAGACAGAACAATAGGCGTAGGGTAAGATATCAAGAAAGGCAGTACACTAACATCAACATGCCTTTGTCTCAAGCGTTATAACATTTGCTGAAGTTGAAGTTGATCACGCCAAAGGATCCTCCTCAAAATCCCGATACCTCCTCTTCTAAGTACAATCCAAGCGTAAGATGTGCCTACAGAATGGATCGTTAGAAGAATAAGTCTATGTCAATCATTCACCAGGATTCAAAGTCAAAGGGCAAGAACGAAAGGTATACAGATAGATGGAAGATCTATATGGTTTGAAGAAAGCCTAAATGGATTAGAACAAGAGAATATATTCCTTCCTAATCTAGGCAGGTTTCACAAAGTGTACTTCAAAACATAAAGTGCATGTCAACAATGCAAGCATTCTCAATCGAGTCATTATATGCTTGTATCTGGATGACTTGCTGATTAGAGGTGTAGATGAAACAGAAATAAAAGTGATCAAGTCAAAACTAATGCATGAATTTGAAATTTCTAACCTGGGAACCTTGTCATATTTCTTAGGGAAGGATTTTAAAGACACAAGTGAAGGAGTGTTCTTGCACCAAAATAAGTATGTCCAAGATATCTTGAAAATGTTCAAGATGAGCAACTATAATACAATTGTCATGTCATTGGAGATGGAGCAAAATCGAGAGAGGAAACAAATGATGAGTTTGTAAGTATAACACTGTACAAGCCAAGTAAATAATTGGATCCTTGAGATATCTATGCAACACCATGCTAGATATTTGTTAAAGAGTCGGGTTGTTGAGCAAATTTATGGAGAAGTCACATGAGTGTCATCTGATTGCAGTCAAGAGAGTCTTGAGATACATAAAAGATACTATTGATCATGGTGCATTGATACCAAGACAGAAGAATACCAGCACAAATGGCTACACGGATTCATGTTTTAGTGGAAATCAAGACGAGAAAAGGAGTACCGCAGACTACATATTCATGATTGAAGGTGCTCCAATATCGTGGAGCTCTAGAAAATAAAACATTGTGGCTCAGTTATCTTGTGAAGCTAAGTATACGGTTGCATCGTATGCAGCATGTCAAGTAGTATGGATATAAATATTGCTCGAAGAGCTCAAGATCACGAGACCTAAGAAGATGAAGTTATTTGTAGATAACAAGTCAGCTATCGAGCTGGCAGATCATCTTGCGTGTCATGGTCAAAGTAAATACATAGAGAGGAGGTATCATAGAGATGAGGTATCATTTCCTTAGAGACTAAGTAAATAAAGGGAATATTGAATTTGAACATTACAAGTCAGAACGACAACTATCTGATATACTCACCACATCCCTAAAGAAAGTCAAGTTTGATGAGTTGAAGATAAGCATTGGAATAAGAAGTCTCGAAAACTTGAATTAGAATGTGTGTTAGAAGTTACACTTCATTATTTTGTAGGTTAACTATATTCAACATAGGTATGTTCGACCTAGTCGAAGTAACGAGTCAAGTAGAAGTTAATTATATTCAATAGAGTCGAATAAAACATATAATTCTCAAGTCGAATACTACATCTTATAACTTGTATGTTTTGGTTGCCTGACGATGTAAATGAAAAATAACAACGTAGTAGAATTAAACCCTTTTTACAATATAACTAGTTTCTCTCTCTTCTTCTCCATTCTTGTTGAAACTCAAATTGTTTATACGTCATTATAATTTTTTTAGAATATAATTATAAAATAACATAAATTAGTTATATTGTTAAAAAATAATACAAAAAAATTATATTTTTAAATGATAACAAAATATTAAAATTAAAAAGTAATTTATTCAAAAAAAAAATCAAGATCAATTACATACACTTAAACCTAAAAGGATAGTAGCAACACAGACAAACAAAAATGTAAGATTATAGAATTAGTTTTTTACTTCTACTTTTATAAATTTAAAAAAAAAAAGGAAACTGAAACTGAATGTAAGATTATAGAATTAGTTTTTTATTTCTATTTTTATAAAAAAATAACCTGAAAGAATGAAAGAAGAAAAAAACTGTTATTATTTGCGTATGGACCGGGGAAAAAAATACAATATTTGTAGGTACCTGATTATCAACCGTGTACCAACACGCATACCAAATACAGAAAAATAAATGGTACGAACTTAATACGAACCATGTATGTACCATACACGTACAGGTACCCGATAGTGGTACTTTGTCCAAAACAGTGTACCCATGCATCACAGAATTTAAATATTGAAAAATGAAAAAGATATAAATTCTTAAACAAACAAAACAAGTGCCCAACAACATAATCCTGTTTGTACGAAATAATTGAAGAAAAAAAAAAAAACATCATTGTTTCATGAGGTAGTGCAACGCAGATAACAGAAACCAGAGTCCCAAAAATATCAGAATTAATATTCAACCACATATGTAACACATTTTCATGGATATATAAACGATCCAGCACAAAAATAAATGCTTCCTTCGATATTGAATAACAGATCAGTCAATGTACATCATTGCAACTCTTGAATTTCAAGCATGTTTGAATACCAAACCATTTTACCCCAAGAAAAAACAGGATTCACGGACTGATTCCTGTATTTGAGTTCTTCAATGTTCATCACAATCTTCTTTATTACTATCATCAACAAACCTAATACTCATTCTCTGTATGATAATTGTTCAAGAAGTTTCCTCCAGCCTATACATTGTGATTTCCTGCTGCTTGAAATACCGTCTGTCCTCTTCATCAACCAACACAAGATTCAAGAAATACTTCACACTGAATTTGTTATTAATGTTGTGATGAGTTGGTGTCAGCTCGTAAGGACTGAGGAACAGTCTGATCGGTATTGACTCACCTGTAAAACCAATCAAGCATTAATCAGTGCGTTATGAAATAGTTTTTACTTAAGGGTTAAACATGCTGATGATAGTATTAACTATTAATTTCACTTTGATGTGAGCATTGTTGTCCATGAATAGTAGAGTTGCTAATGTTGAGATCTACTCACTGCATATATTAGAAGGTGGAATTTATTTTATGTAACAATCATTTGTTGTACAAAGCATTTGAGATTGGTATTGGCTCAAGTGGCAGATAATTTCTGCCTTTACCAAGTCATGTTAATGAGTTTCAGTTAATGTCGTATTGATTGGAAGTATCCAATATTGATCTCTGGCCGTAACAATCCTTGGTCAGTATCAGAAGAAAGATACTATATACTCACACAGCCAGACACTACTTATTTCTCGGACAAACTTTAGATTATCAGGGCCCCTTTGCCCTGAGAACCGGAGGGTTAAGAACAAAAAAGAAATTAGCATCGACTAATTTGCTTTGCTTGCAAATTTAAGTGGTAGCTTAAACTTTCTGTTTTACTTTGCTTACTCATCCCATTTCAAAGTTAACCTACCTCTGACAGGAGCACCATCCATCAACTCGAATTTAGCCAACGTTTCTGTCTCCACATGGGTGTTTGTCCCTGATCCTGTGGATTCTCGGCGTCTAATCTCAAGGTCCATGTTTTTTATCTTGATTCTGACAAGTAAGAAATATATCTTACCAATGATAACATCTTTCAGGTGATACCTGAAAAGTTGAAATTCTCAGTAAGACTTGTCCTTTCACCTATACAATATAAATAAGTTGAAGAGAACAATATTCTCTTCATATATAAGACCTGTACAAGAGTTCGACATAAATATCATTAGTGCGCATACCTGCCTAATTATCTAGGATTATTACTTGGTTATAGTCAAACTAAGTAACAGGAAATATGTAAGTCAGAGTAAGACATGTACTGGCTACTATAACCAAGCAAGATAAAGTAATGCATAAATTTCATATTTCAAACTGTAAGCAGAAATACCATAGGATACCAGTTGGTAGTAATATAAGAGACATAAAAAGAAGACAACCTCCAGTCAAATTATCAACCAAAATATTCAACTTACTTGCTTTTGTTGTACTCAAATTCAATATGCAGACAATCTTCTATTCCAACTTCCATCTGTACAAGATATAACACATTGCTAAATATATAATGAGGAAATAAAAGAAGCTAATAACAAAGTTATGAGGAAAAGCACATGGAAATAACTAAATGTCTCTACACTGCACATACTTCATCAATGAGTAATTGACAGGAAATGAATGATATGATGACACAATTTCACTTTTTTATTGTTCCAGGGTAGTTACTGGGTTTAATTGATGGAAATTAGTGAGCATGTATCATTATCACTATCACGGCTCATATGATGATAGTGAATTTTCTCTAGACAGCATTAAAATTCGACTACATGTTATTGAGCTCACCTTGATGCTGTTATTAATCTGTGGAAGTGGAGAATAGTTGCGAACCTGGCCAATGAGGATAAAAATAAAAATTATATGTAAGGGATGAAATCGAGTAAAAACACATATACAGCTATATGCGAGTAAAAACACATTCACACTTTTTTGGGGTGTGGGGATACCACACTCATGTAAATGTTTTCAATCTTCACAGCTACTTCAAACATAACATTATAATTTATCCCCAAAATGCAGTAAGTTTTTTTTCACCAAAATGAAGTGATTTGATAAAATAACATTCTACTTGATGTCCCAGACCTGAAATCACAAACTTTATTTGACTGATAGAGAACGTACCACAAAATCCTGGTACTCAACTATGCTTCCCGCATAACCGCGATTAATGGTAACTTTCAAGACATACCTGGAAGTTGCAAATGCATAAAAACATCACATTATATCATATTCAAGAGCCCAAACAATTATTTCCAAAGCATATATTTCAGAAAGACGACAAAAGCACATGAATAAAACTCTAACTGAGACCCGTGTATCTTCCAAAATATGATACCTAAGCCTCACATTCACCCCATTGTATGTCTCATATGGCATTTCAACAGTAGAAAATTCAAATGGATACGTTTTCCTTTCATAAATTTCTCCAGGAACATCTAGTTCACGTACTGCAAAAGACAGCAAAATGAAATTTTAGTTCTCAGTTGTAAGTAATTTGGCATTAAATGAATGGCAGCCTCACAGTAAAAGAGTACACAATTACCAAGGGAAGTAAAGTCATAAAAATTCCCTCTGTCAAAATACATCTCTGCACAGTGAAAAGAAATTCAAAATGAACTGTATATCAGTAATTAGTAAATAAGTAAAACATGAAGAAATTTGTATACAAGAGAAAAAGTTCAGAGCAAAAGTCGAATAACAACTACATATTTATTACAAAACATGAATGGAAATATATTTCCTTTCCTGGTCATTACCTAAGAATAATGTAACAGTTCAGCTACAGTTCATCAAGAAGGAAAGGGGGGTGTGGGAAGAGAAAGAAAACATTTTTTATACGGTTTTGATTTTGACAGAAATTAAATTGCAGCCTCACAGTATGGTAACCTATCTTTCTCCTATCTATAAGAAGTGATTCATGATTAACTGTAAATTCAAAGTTTTAAAAACTAGGACCAAGAGCTTTCAATGTTATAATAATTCAATGATGTTTTACAGAGATGTTGTGGATGATCATTTTATGCCTTAACACAAGTCAAATGAACTAAGTAGAAAAAACAAGAATCCAGCTGACCATTACACCTGACAAATATAAGTAAAGAATCAAGTTGGAATATCTTGCTTAAATAGTAATTTTAAAAAGAAATGATAAATAAAAACCTTGAAGCAGTATTATACTCAACGCAAAGACACAAAATTGAAAAGTGAAAGGATTCCTCAAGTACAAACCTATTTGTCCAAGGAGCTCAACTTTTATGCCATTGTGATCAATCTTCTTCCCTTGCATTGGTTCTATTGTAATCTAAACATGGCAGCAAATACATAAATAGTAAACATAGTAAGGCTCACTGAACAATATATCAAAAGCTATTGCAACAATAACAGCATGGGTTTAAGATAAGCTGAATAAAAGTATAGATAAACAGCTAATATACCTTTCCAGCAATGTTTTCTTGACTGTGGAAAAGAGGGACGGTAACTGACTGGCCATTTTCTTTTTTAAATGGAACCTTGAAAATGACAAAAGAATGTTAACGAAACCGATCTACAAGTCACTAAAATTATAGCTGGTGAAAGATTCAAAATCATTAATAATGCAAAGACAAATATCAAATACTATTAAAATTTCCCTACTTGCAAGGAAAAAGTGAGGACAAGGTGAAATAGGAAATTCTGAATATGTTTAAGAGAAGAAGATAGTCAGCAATATGATATTTATATACAGGATTAATACAATAGTCATAATTTTCTAAAGGTGCAACACATCTTTATACACAATATGATACTAGGAATTCAAATGGTACTTGGAAAGTACTAGTCAAACATTAATTATATTGTATTTCCATTTTCCAAAACTTCCCCTCAAAATTGTAGACCACAAGCTATCCAACTTGTTATAGATATAAGAATCCTTGATTCCCAAAGAGCTCCGGTGAGGGAATCTGTCAACCGATCATTTGAGTTGACAAAGGATGTGAGAATTTAAGAAGTCTTCTCACAAATAAAATGGCAATCAATCTCTATGAGCTTAATTTGTTCACGTAAGTTGGATTGGATGCAATGTCTCAATAGTTTCAATCTAACAAAATTTATACTCTTCAATGAGTAGTTTCGACATTAAGAGTTCACATGTAGTAAGAGTCATAGCTCGATACTTTGCAACATCGGTCAAAGGAAATCAAAATAAATGGTCAATTAGTTCCTCAATGGTAAGAATGTTGGGATTGGTTAGAACTTGATTTCAGACATTTTCAAAATCCTTTAAGTATGCCTTGAAGAACAAAATATACACATTTTGATCTATCTTCTCTATCAACTTTTGAGGATCACTATTGGTTAGAATCGTCTTTTAAATAGTTCACTGAGCTTTGTTTAAATAGGAAATTAAATCATGGTCTTCCATTAGAAGAGTTGCCAAACTATGGACAGAATCATAGTAATTCCGTATGACAATAAGATAAACACACTCTAAGCCTTCTTTCAAATCTCTTAACAAGAAATATAGAACTGAAAATGAACTAGAAGCGACAGGTCAATTGATGGCCAAAGTAAGGATGCTAATTGATAATCAGTATTTTCCTATTCATCCTTTAAATGAATTGTCGACTCTTTCAACTTGGGTTATCAAACTACCAAAAAGTCCCTGACCAAGAAACCAGACTTCGACAGCAAAGCACATGTCCAAGTAATTTGTGCCATTAAAATTTTCAGAGGCAAATAGACAAAGTTCTTGAAAAGGCAAATGAAATGGGACTTTTCTGATTCCATTCAGATCTATCAATTGCTTCCATTAAGTTGATAATGAAGACTGAAACGATAAACTTTTAAGATAACGCTAAAGGGGAGTCTAGGCACTAAGAGTGATTGTTCAAACTAGTAAGAAATTAATCTCATTATGTAATGGACTATTATGCTTGCAATTTCATGATTGAAATGAAACTAAACAGTGGCTGACCTGCTTTCGGTTTTTTCCATCCGTAAACGAGATGAGGACATTGCATGCAGGCTTGAAAGCTCCAAGAAGATAATTCTATGATTTCACAAACACAACCAAATCAAAATCAAGTGAATCAATGTTAAAATTGATAAAAACCAAATACATACCCAAAACTCAAAAACCCAATTAAACAAAACTCACCATACTGTTCACAATTCAATCTACTACTATCAAGCACCTGTTGAAAACACAAATTCCCAATTATAATCAGCATGCATGCAAACCAGATCAAGATCTTTAACCCCAAAATACACAAATCAAGATCATGAACATACCCTCCAAAACCCTAGAGACAAAATTCGGGTGATACCGTGTAGAGTGCGATCTATGGCTGAGTTAACCCTAACAGTAAATGCATCGGAGGAAGAAGGAGTTGCGGTCTCTTCTTCTCTTTCTCCTGAATTTCCAATGTTTAAACGACTTGTCGTTTAACAGATGCCTGTGTGGCTTTTTCTTTTTTCTTTTCCAAATTGAAATTTTGTATTTTTATGTTTGGATTGGTTTTTTACCTAAATCTATTTTAATTGTGTGAATTTTATAGGATAAATCCATTTTTACATAAAATAAAAATAGAATTTAAAGATATTACATTTTCAACGTATAATCAATCAAAACTTTTATATTTATCATATCATTTTAATATTTTATAAATAAAATTAAAATTTATTCTAATACATGTCTTTCATTTATTGACATTATAATATGTTATCAATGTAATGTTTTTTTTCTCAAAAAGATATATACTAAATAAATTTGACAAATATAATATATAACCCGTTTCAGTTTTTTAAAAATAATTTTTTATAATATTATATATTTTTATTTAAAAATTATAATTTAAAAAAAACTTTAAATAAAAAATTATTTTAGATAATTAATTTTAAAATATTACTTTAAGTAATTTATTCTTTTACTATAAATTATTTAGATGTTAAAATTTTAAGAAATTATTTAAATTTGCATCACTTAAATGAAGGGGTGTATCTTTTAGACTTCAGAGATGGCTATCAATGAGGTGTACATAGATCAGTTTAGATTGAATTTGATCAAAATCAATACTCAAATCATATGGTATATCGGTTTGTGGGTTGGATTGAGTTGGACAGTGCATCACTCAATTTTTTACTTATATAATTATAAATGGTGTGTTGTGTTTTTTTTTTTTAAATGCCCAAATTTTTTTTTTTTTTAAAAATAGTTTAGTCATATTAGCATTATTCTTTTAACATCAAATGTCTAAACATTCTATAAAAAAAAAATCAATGTTGTATTACAGAAGTGTTTAGTACTAAAATTACATAAATTATTTACAACTTACAAGTATTAGTATTAAAATAATCAAAGTGTGATATTATAAATAATTCAAAATCATGACTCGTAAAATAAAAATTTGAAATTGAAACAATCAAATATGAATACATCAAAATCATTATTCATCAAATTAAAAAAACAAAACAAGTCAAGAACATTGTTCAAACATCCTCCATGACTCAAAGAGAAGTCTTTACTTCAACATTAATATCTTCAATCAATTTCCAATAATAAATATATAAATATAAATTCATATATCAATTCATCAAGAGACCTAAAAATACAAAAATATATAATAATTAAAGGTAAAATTTATGCATTGAGTGGGTTGAATGGGTTTTGTGCATTGAGGATGAGTTTACCTAAAACCTATTTTGGATTGGGCCTGCATTTGGTCCATTGAAGGATATGACCTAGTCTGACGCTCCTTCGAAGAAGGTCCAACGACATGGCCAACTCCTAGCAATTGGGGAACGTTTTCCCCATGTGCCCTCCATAAGCACGTGGTGAACTGCCCTTTGATTTTCACGGAATCTCTTGCCACCTATGGAGAATCGGCCATCCGCTATCCGAGGAATGCGGAACACTCAAACCAGGATCGTGGATACACGTTGCTCCACTTCACGCGCTTGAGTCCTGACATCCATTCATTATGGGTCAGGATCTTCAGCCCGCAATGAAGGCCTTGGCCCAATGCTGAGGGTTATAAATACCCTATTTCACTAGAGGGTAAGGTACATTACTCTTTACGCTTTCATTACGTGTATTCTACTTTGGACCTTACTTTGGCATCAGAGTGTCTTGCAGGTACCCCCACCCCCTCCATTTCACCTTCACCGCAGTTCAGTCCAAACTTGTGGGCCACCGACGATCTCTTCTGATCAGGTATGATCAATGGCGCCGTCTATGGGAAACAACTTCCCTGGTCTAGATGCAGCCCCGGTCAAGACTGTGACCCTTAACGGGTTCTGGGGAAAATCCGAGCCCATTACCTTCTATCTCGAGGAACTACCTGGTGGAGCTCCCAACTCGAACATCCTTTTGCTCATGAGAGCAGAGATGGCCAACTTCGGCGTGCATCGCATCCTGGTCGACAAGGGGAGTTTCGTCGATGTCATGTACACCCAATTGTTCCAGACTCTCCAGCTCGACAAGTCCCACTTGTCACCGTACGTGGGATCTAATCTACAAGTGTCATCGGTGGATTTAGAACTGACTGTTTAACGCTGGTTCGCGAAATGTCGCGGAAGCAAGAGTCGCCACCGTCTTTTATGTTCTCCAACATGGAAAGGACAAAAGCACAGCAAAATTCCTTTTTAGAGAATGTTTCTCGGTTCGGGAGGTAGATTTATAGAAAGGGAAGGTGTTAGCACCCTTTCTATCCGTGGTTATCCACAGGCTCTTAGGTACTTGCTCTTATGTTTTCAAAAAATGTTTGCTTTTCAAGTGTGTATGGGTTTTGAAAAAGTTTCTTTGAAAGTTTCGGAATAACTCTTGTATCAGTCCTCAAGAGTGTTTGAAAAATTATTTTGAAAGCTTTTTGAAAAGTGTCGGTGTGAAAAGATTTTTGTTTGTTTTTGAAAAGAGCAAGTATCTACGAGTCATCCACCTACTCTAAGGAATTAGGCTGTGTAAGAATCCTTAAGACAGTACTATCCCACTATTGAGTAGTAGGTAGCACCGTCGTTGGAGGTATTCAGGTCAATTCGATTATGAGGGACATGTGTGGTCACCAAAGCAATGGTAGGACGCCTTAGCGGTAACCCTAATGTCCTAGATCCTTTTTATCCGAGGCAACCATTTCGAGGCAACTGGATCTTTAGACAGGAGGGCGACCTCTAAAACACCCTATACTTAACGACCACGTCGAGGCAACCAGTGAGGCGTACCCTAGGAGTGGCATGTGCATGTGTGTTCTTTCAGTTTATGTTTATCTTTGATCATGCATTTTTGTGAGCTACGCTTGTTTTTAATTAGCCATACATTCTTTCATGCAATTAGAATTTAAAAGTGCGGAAATTTAAATGCGGAAAGATAAATCCTACGCTATTACAAGGCGCGGGTCTATACATCGCCAAATTATAAAGACCCGTTTGATAAAAGATGCGGAAAGTAAAAGACCTAATTATTATTACATGGCTTGAGCAGTTACATAATATTCGAAAAGAAAAAAGAATAACGCGCGAAAAGAAATTAGAATCGAATGTCCGAGGGTTTTGACCCTTTTGAAATTTAATTGAATTAAAAAGCTAATTAATTATTTAATTAAAGAAAGGGAATTGTTTTTTATGTTTTTTGGTATTTATGAAAAATAAAGAAAATTAAAATTAAAAGAAACCCTAATTCTAAGTTATTTTTAATTATTTGAGAAAATATACAAGTTAACCTAATTTACACTAATTAATTACTTACATATTTATTTACAAAAATAATAAGTAATCAACAATAATAATAATAAGTAAGAAATAATGAGGAAAAAGTTTAATTTGTGAAAAAGATAAAAATGTCAAAAAAACCTAATTTCTACATATTTTTTTATTTATTAAGAAAAGATTAAAGTTTTAAAACCTAATTTACTAAATTAATGGTTAGAGTTTATTTACAAAATAAATTAATAGTGAATTAAATATTAATTAAACATATTTTAGTTTCTGATTTTTTTATTATGAAAAAATATTTTGGGTGAATTAAATAAAATAATTAAAACAATTTAAAAGAATTTAGAAAAGAAAAGAGAATTAAAAAGAATACAAACAAGGGGGGTGTCTGGCCCATTATGGAGGTGAATTGAAGCATTCTGGCCCATGAAACAAAGGCCTTGTTTGACTTTCTGCGCCTGCGTGTGGGATGGTTGACTGAGTGTACCATGGACCTCATCTTGCAGCCTTCAGATTGGACCTTGAAGCCACTTGTCAGACCTTAGCATGTGCGTGCATGGTGAACCTTTGATTGAACGCTGCATAGGAATACATTGAGACAAAAATTATTGAACATATGGGGGGACCTGGGAATCGAACCCAGGTCCCAATGCCTGCAGGACAACTCATCCACCAACTGAACCATCGCGTGTGTTTGTAATGTTAGTGGAACATAAATATTATAATAAAAACAAAAGTTAATGATATGAAACAAGAAAAACACGCCAGATTTTGAATACTCCAACCAAATAATGACACGCTAGCTTCTTCTTCGTTGTTCCTGTAAATACCAAACAAATAGCGGGGGTTTTAAACCCCCACTAAATAGCACAGTGCATAATAGCGAATAGGCGTACAGGTAACATAAATTGAGCGCGAATAGTTCAATCACTTCGTCTTGTTGCCACGATTTGGTCTGCACCGGTTTGAAGGTCCAATTTTTTCATATGTGAGAACCCCTAATTTGGAGCTTCTGAAACCCTAGGTTTCATCAATGGCAGGTTTCGATTCAAGCGTTGTTAGTCCAATCAAATATTACCAATAGCTTCAGAACATCATGATTAGTGTAAATCAACAAATAAAACACATGATTAATGCATGAAAATTAAAAAACGATTATGGAAAAGTTTGTGATGAACGTGATTTTGTTCTACCAATTCTTGGAGTATGGAGACTGGAAAGTGATTGCAACACGTTCAAGGAAGTCTCAGCAAGAGTTTGGAATAGGATTTAGGCTTTGAATCGTGCTCTAACTGTGATTTCAGATTTCAAGTTTTTGGTGAAAATTTGCAATTTTGTTCTATGTTTTCTGAGCAGTTTTTCGTGTCTTCTTGCATTAGGTTATGTTGTGCCTATGTACATGAACGAAATTAGGTCAAAAACAAGCCCAAAGATCCATCCATTCATGTTTTGAAT